GGTAGTTGTGGTCCATTAGTCCTTTGGACTAATCTTTCCCTTGTATCTTTATTTTTCTTCATTCTCCCTTGCTCCTGAAGGGGTGAGACCAGTAGAGTATCTTAGATGGTCACTCACAGACATTTAAGACCCCAATACATTTAACTTCTTGAGGAACCACCAACCTGTTTTCCACAGTGGCTGTACCATTTTACATTCCCACCAGGATTGTATGAGCTTGTAATTTTTCCACATCCTTGCCAAAACTTGTTATTATCTGACTTTTTGTTTCTAACCATCTTAGTGCGTATGAAGTAGTATCTCATTGTGGTTTACATCTGCATTTCCTTAATGGCTAATGATCTTGAGCATCTCTTCCTGTGCTTATTGGCTATTTGCATATCTTCTTTGGAGAAATATCTATTCAAGTCCTTTGACCATTTTTTGATTGGGATGTTTGTCTTTTTGTTGTTGACTTCCATGGCTTTTTTTCTTTTCCTGTGCTTCCGCTGCCTGGCCTAAGATTTCAGCATAGTTACAGGAAGTGGACCTCAAAATGGGATAACAGAAGCTCCAGATTTCTGGCCAGAGTGGAGAGCAAAAAGCAGAGGTTCAGGGAACCAAAAAGTATCAGGGAGATCTCAGAGATGGAGAAGCTTGGGAAAGTAACCTCACAGAGTTGTGTGTGAACTCCTAGGCTCACCCACAAGATGTACTTGTATGGATGTAATCCTAAACAGCACACCAAAGATGTTAAGAACAGAAATAAGGGATAGTCCACTGCCCAGGCTGGCACACACACAGGACAAATCTGAATAGCACAGCAAAGATTTCAAAAACAGAACTGACAATGAAATCATTATCCAAAGAACACCGGTCAGAATTTGTGGCCTGAGCCCAACTGCATCAATTACCTACTAAAAGAAAAATATCAGCATTCTTCATACAATTTACACAAGACTCAGAGTCTTATAACACAGTATCATAGTGTCCAAGATACCACGGAAGTAATTGCTTCAAGGGCACAGGGTGTCCTTTTGGGCTAATGAAAATGTTTTGGAACTAGATAGAGGTGGTGGTTGCACAACACTGTGAACTAAATGGCACTGAATTGCTCATTTGAAAATAGTTAATTTTACATTACACAAACTTCAGCTCAATAAAAAAATAAATAAAATTTAAAATGTCCAGGATACAACACAAAATTACAAGGTATATGACAGACCAGAAAAATATCAACTTACATGGGAAAAGATAATTAATAGATACCAATGCCAAGATGACCCAAATATCTAACAAAGGCATTAAAGTAGCTATTATAAAAAAAGCTCTAAGAAGTAAGGGTGAACACTCTTGAAGCAAATGGAAAGACAGATAGTCTTAGCAAAGAGACAGAAGACACAAAGAGGGACCAAATTTAAATTTTAGAATTAAAAAATACAATAATGAAAATTAAAGTTTTACTGGATGGGCTGCTAGTAAGAAGAATGAAGATGATGGGAAAAGTCAATAAACTTAAAGATAGAGCCACAGAAATTAAGCTGACTGAGAGAAAAATATTTTTAAAAATGAACAGAGCCTTGGGGACCTGTGTGACAATAGCAAAAGGTCTAATATTTGTGTAATCAAAGTCCAGGAAGAAGAGTTCAGTATAGAAAAAAATGCTTCAAGCAATAATGCTTCAAAACTTTCCACGTTTGGTGAAACATTCAAAATCTATATAATCAAGAAGCTCAAAAAACCCTAAATAGGATAAATCCAAAGCATTCCAGACACAGACATATCATAATCAAAATGCTAAAAGGTGAAGATAAAGAAAAAAATTTGAAAGCGTTACATATGTAAACCAAAAAAACCAAACCCACTGCTTTCAAGTTGATTCTGACTCATAGTGACCCTACAGGGCAGAGCAGAACTGCCCCATAGGGTTTCCGAGGTTGTAAATCTTTACAGAAGCAGACTGCCACATCTGTCTCCCTTGAAGCAGCTGGTGGGTTCAAACTGTCAACCTTTTGGTTAGCAACTGAGCGCTTTAACTGCTGTGCCACCAGGGTTCCTTACTACATATATTGTTGTTGTTGTTGTTAGGTGCTGCCAAGTCAGTTCCAACTCAGGTAACCCTATGTACAACAGAATGAAACCCTGTCTGGTCCTGCACCATCCTCACGATCATTATTATGCTTAAGCCTATTGTTGCAGCCGCTGTGTCAATCTGTCTCTTTGAGGGTCTTCCTCTTTTTCGCTGACCCTCTACTTTACCAAGCATGATGTCCTTTTCCAGGGACTGATCACTCCTGATAACGTGTCCAAAGTATGTGAGATGTAGTCTCGCCATTAGGAGATTCTGGTTGTACTTCTTCCAAGACAGATTTGTATATTCTTCTGGTAGTCCGTAGTACAATCAATATTCTTCGCCAACACCACAATTCAAAGGTGTCAATTCTTCTTCGGTCTTCCTTATTCATAGTCCAGCTTTTGCATGCATATGAGGCAAATGAAAAACACTATGGCTTGGGTCAGGCACATCTTAGTCTTCAAGGTGACATCTTTGCTTTTGAACACTTTAAAGAGGTCTTTTGCAGCAGATTTGCCCAACGCAATGCATCTTTTGCTTTCTTGACTGCTGCTTCCATGGTTGCGGATCCAAGTAAAATGAAAACCTTGACAATGTCAATCTTTTCTCCATTTATCACAATGTTGCTTATTGGCCCAGTTGTGAGGATTTTTGTCTTCTTTATGTTGAGGTGTAATCCATACAGAAGGCTGTGGTCTTTGATCTTCATCAGTAAGTCCTTCAAGTCCTCTTCACTTTCAGCAAGCAAGGTTGTGTCATCTGCATATGGCAGGTTGTTAATGAGTCTTCCTCCAATTCTGATGTCGCATTCTTCTCATATAGTCCAGCTTCTCGGATTATTTGCTCAGCATACAGATTGAATAAGTATGATGAAAGGATACAACCCTGACGCACACCTTTCCTGACTTTAAACCACATAGTACAGGCACAATAATTTGAACAACTGAATTTATCATCAGAACCATGAAGGCCAGAAGGAAGTAGCTCAATAATTTTAAAGTGCTAAAAGAGATGTCATCCCAGAATTCTACATCAAAATTCAAATAGGATTTTTTTATAGATAGACACAAGATGATTCTAAAACTTTTATGATAAGGCAAAAGAACTAGAATAGCCAAAACAATATTGAAAACCAATAACGCTATGGTTCTTAAAATAGTGTACTGTTGGCATGAAG